CCCCCCCCCCTTCCCCCGGCGAATTGTCAACGCGATCGAGACGACGTCCGACGCGCTCCGCAACGACGTGTGCGACTGCTGCGATAAAAAACGAACGAACAAACCAATCAAGAAAATCACACGTCTTCTTTCGCTTCCGACGGCGCTTACATTCCGTATTACCTAACGGATACTTTTAAGGTGTATCACCGCTGATCCCGAAGATCATGTAGCAGATCGTGGTGGAATAAGGAAGGGAAAATCCTCGCGTACACTGAAAAGAAAAAGGATTCTGTCGTTGAAACGACAATCTGGGTGGGCCCGGCCGAGAATTCGATCAAAACGGGAACGACAGTGTTTGGTGGTCGCAGCCAAAACATTGCTGAATTCGTCGTTATGCGTGCCTTGCTCTCTCGGTGAGCTGCATGACGGAAGAACGCGTAATGCCAACCGCTATGTACTACCAGATACTCGAGTTCCAAATGCAGAGATAATTTTTTCAGTGTAGCTGCGCGAAATTATACACGTTCTCCGCGAGACTCTCTGCGCCGCGCTCGGCGCGTGTATTTTTCTCCGTGCGAACGTTGCGTAACGCCGGTGTGAAATCCACCGGGTGCGTGTGCGCGCGCATGTGTATGTGTGTGTTACATGATGTATGTGTGTATGTGAGTGTCTGTGTGTGTGTGTGTGTATAGCGTAAGCACGACACGCGCGAACCACGCCTATCGATTTATCCGGCCAATATCCGCGACTCGTGTCTGCTATGCGTTAGGGAGAGAAGCACACTCGGACGAAAATACCTTTGGACAATCGTCATTTTGGAGCGGACGATTACAGGATTCTCTCTCTCTCTCTCTCTTTCTCTCTCTCTCTCTCTCTCTCTCTTTCTCTCTCTCTTTCTCTCTCTTTCTCTCTCTCTTTCTCTCTCTCTTTCTCTCTTTCGTTCTCGTTTCATGTTGGTTTAGTTTCTTTTTTGTTTTCTACAAAAACCTGATGTGAAATGGTTGTCAATTAATATTAATGTAATTTCGCGAGTAACCACCGGAGTGTGCACAGAGAAGAAGAAAGAGAGAGAGAGAGAGGGCGGGTAAAGTGCAACGTGTTAGAATAAAAGCCGAGTTGGCTTTTGTCGCGCGCGCTCTTCGCGTTTCGCAATCTGGCGCGAGAGGACGATTTTCGGGCGTGAGAGGGAGCGCGAGCTTTTCAATCAAATTAATTAAGCGCACTATACTGACGACGAGCGAACGCGATCCACTTTCGAATTGATCGATCCTTTGCACTGTCTCGGACGCACGTTTTATCGATTCGACGAGGAGAAGGAGGTGAGGAAGGGGGAGGAGGAGGAGGATGACGACAACAGGAGGAATTCCGCGTTTGTGCAAAGCCACGCGCTCGCTTAACCTGTGTGACCTCGTTCTCCCACTCTCTTTGCTCTTCTTTTTTTTTCTTTAACCTTGACACGTAACTCGAGAATGTTAAGATGTATTTATTTTTTAAGACTAACCCCTCGGTACTCTCGCGACGATATAGTCTGATATTCTACGACAAGAGTAGAATCAAGGGGGATGAATTGTACAGATTTGCGGCGAGCGACGATTTATTTTCCGCACGAACCTCTGTACTGCGAGAGACGGGAGAGTCGAGCAGATTATCGGATTATTGTAGAAAACCATAGAAATATATTTTCCTCACGTGTACGTTGAGTCGCGCGGAAATAAACCGGATTGCGCGTACATTGCAGCACACTGAGAGAAAAATACCTGGGAATTTATCTGCGGGATATAATGCCTGTGTCTCTGCGAATTAAGGTTTATTTATGCGAAATAAACCTTCCTCCCGCGCGAATGCATTTTCAGATATTTTTCTTTCTCAGCGCAAAACAACGTCAACATTACACCGAGAAGAAATGCCTGAACATTTACTTGTGGGATTCATTTCTGCGAAATAAAGTTGATTTCTGCGGGATAAAGTCTATTCCTGCGAAATAAAGTTGATTTTTGTGAGGTAAAATTCACTTCTGTGAAATCCACTTTTCTCTTGCAGATATATTTTCAGGCATTTTTTTTCTTAGCGCAGCAACGGCGACATTACATCGAGGAGAAACACTTGAACATTTGCTTGTAGGATATAAAGTTGGTTTCTGCGGAAGGAAACCGACTTCTGCGAATAAACTTTATATCTCGCGAATAAATGTTCAAGTAACTTTTCCTCGGTGGTACCACAAGAGCACGAGTACCGGTGGATTAAAAATGTGCGCTGTTTTCCCTCGCTTGGACCCACGCTCTTATTTATTCGTCGCAATGGTGCGCGATCGGAACTCGCGCGATCGTCGTTTCGTATTCTCGATCGCGGAATCTCGTTGCTCAGTACAGGCGAACTGTGTGAGGGCGAGGGCGAAGTGGACGCCTCGCCCGTTCGTACATCTCAGCGATGAATCCTTTGCACTTTCGCTGACGACGTCTTGGCGGGGAGTCTTCACTTTAGAACGGAGCTCTATACGAAAGCTCCGTGACGTTTGAGATTCGGAAGATTGTACAGCGGTGTATCTCGGAGAGCGCGTCCAAGACGTCTCGATACTGAATTCGCAAAGGGTTGAAATCGCGGGGAAACGCTCGTCTGTATTTATGACCGCGCGCGCGCGTCGCGTGCTCGGCGCGCCAAGTGCGACTGCTCGATTCACGTCTCGCGTTCATGTTGGGGCCGAGCTCGGTGTCGGTTTGCGGATTGCAGCAAGCCTCTCGTCGCGGTTTGCGCCAAAAGAGCGCGGCGGGAGCGAGCGCGGAAACGGGCGTTCGCGAGTACGAATCGGACGTTCACATACACACACGGCGTGCCTTTTCTTCTCGTGTTAAGTCGGACGGCGAGCGATATTTTTCGAGGGCACGTCTTTCTTCTGAGGCGCAGCGGGCGAGGAGAGCGAAGTGGTGGCACGCGAAGTGTACGAAAGTAACGAAAACCATGTGATTTAGTCAGTAAGCGAAAACCCCCATTAGAATATAATCGCGCGATGCGCGGGCTGTGTTGCGCTGGCTTCATGACCCGCGAGACAGCCGCGGAGGAGCAGACAAATATATACACACACACACACACACACACACACAAGCGCGCACCGCGTACATAGAGATATATGTAACCCTAAACACACATGAAGAGTAAACATTGCTATATTATAATGTAATAATAATATTATATATATATATAAACATATATATATATATGTACATATATATATGTTATATATTGTCTACCGACAGAGCGAAGAAGTCTTTTTTTACGAGAATAATTTTATTTTTGAATGAAATACGAAATGAGAATAAAATTTCAATATATTAAATGTAATCAAGTTGTGCATGACTTTCTTACAAAATCCTGACCAACTTCTCCCTCTCGGCGATCCTGTCCAATTCAACGGCGAAATGAATATGAGACGCAGTTGTCCCGTCTTATCAGATCAGGCGTCGGGATTTTCCTCGCTCCGACACAGACGACATGGAATCTCGTTCAGTGCGTCACATCTGTGGAGGATAAACTCTGCTGCAAACTTCACCCCTTGCTCAGCGATTCCATTACGATAAATTAGCTAAGAATGAGGCAAATGGGGAAATCGACTGCTTATTATTTTGTTATTTATTTCCGAAAACTTCAACATTAGTATAAAAACATACAAATATTATAAAGACAATTATAATCTATTTTCAAGCTCTGTATTTCTTTCTTTATGGTATTCGTAGAAAATAAAAGTAAAAACTTCATTTACTATATATAGAAGAAAAAAACATTCCTGTTTGGAATACCTTTATTTTTTATATGTATTTTCAAATAAAATTACATAGCGTTACGCATAAAGTTATTTACAAGGGTATATTTTATAAGATTTGACAAAAATCCGTTTTTATTATTCAAAAATAATTTTCATTAGAGAAAGCACAAAATATTGGATTGCGAATACGTTTTTAAGTATGCCAAAAAAAATATCACCAAAATAATTATATCGTATATCTTATGTGAGATTATTACAATATTCAAATAAAATTATAAGATTTGTTTGATCCATTATAGTATCCTACAGGTTTCTCAATGGCTATTTTCGCAGCTCTAGTCTTTTATTCGAGACTTGACATACTAAGATTCTTAAGGCTCCTCGCCCCTCGCATTATCTATCTCTTTTTAATGATGTCAGAAACGAAAAAATGTTAAAAGTTCTTGCGAAATACGTTGAAATAAAAAGATATCTATAAAGTGACACTTGCAAACGGTTAAATAAATCTGTGAAATAGTTCGTGCATTTCTCTTTTGCTTTAATAATCAATAATTTGTCGTAAATTAACCTGAATAGAAATAGGCGAAGAAATAGGTTAAGAAGATGAATTGTATGTCACGTTAATTTACAACAAATTATTGATTGTTAAAGCAAAAGGGGAGTGCACGGAATATCTTGCAAATTTGTTTCATCGATTACAAGTGTTACTTTATGGATACATATTTTTATTTCAACGTATGTTGCAAAAATTTTTAGCATGTATTTTTTCGCTTCTGATGTCATTAAAAAGAGACAGACAATGTGAGGGGTCAGGAGCCTTAAGTTCAGATCAAAAGTAGGGCTAAAATTTCGACTTGAAATTATTGAACATCTTGGAAAGAATCGGCTTACGCGTTGCACAGTAAACTGTTCCAAGCACTGAACTCTATCAAGCTCTTGTCCGGTTCCTACGCGGTAGTCTTGCAACTAATGAAAGTGCATTAATATTAGACAATAATCAGGCGTATGTCTACGCAAACTGTACACAGATCCACTAGAGAACGGTTGCATTTCCGCTCGAGCGGCTGGAAAGCTACGTGGCGTCGGAGAGCGAAGTTGAATTCCGGCGCAGCAGAGGGTGCGTCCCTCCTCTCTGTCCGCGTTAATTATCGCAATTGACTAATTGGCTCAATTGGGAAAGTTCTTGGTACAAATTAAAATCGGCGAGCGTAGTTTTAAAAGTGTTCTAATCATTGGAACGACCTTTCATTCTGAGAATCTCTTTTTAACGAACGCGCCGGCCAGCGCTGATCCTCGTTTTATTTTCCTTTATTTCGGCTCGCGCCAGGTTTCACACTGGCAGCCGAATGCGAAGGCTGAAACGCGAAATTTCCGGCGGGTAATCGCCGTGAGCCACAGCCGTGTGTACGATTAACGAACCGGCGTGTTGCGTTCTTATTTGATAAAAGAATTATTTACCGTTACGTAATATTACGTAACGTCATACGCGAGCGTAAAAACGAGCGTGTTAAATCGCTGGCACGATGTGCTCGGTGATCGATGTGCCAGACGTGAAATACGCGTTGCCTCTTTTACGGTATCCACAAATTTGCAATGACAGCTAAGGATATACGATTTTGCGATATATCGCGAGCACTGCGATTTTATTTTCCTAATGCAATGCAATATGCAATTGGACTTTTATCGCAACATTGTACCTAAAATTCAAAATTACTCGTCATTTTAGTTAAGTATCTGTGCAAATATCGCGCAACAATCTATAATATTCTATATTATCTAATCTAAACTTACATTAGAGGCATGATGGAATTATCCCATTATAACAGCTTTAAAATGTTAAGTTGCATTATTTCTTTTTAAATATGATTTTTTATATATGATTTTAAATATGATTTTTATATATGTATATTTTTATATATGTTTTAGAAGATTACTAATATCGATTGTCATTAATATCTTAGTAAAAGAAGAAAATAAAAAAGTAGTCTTATTGTCTTATGATAAAAGTGTCGTCAGTAAATAATTAAAATTAATTAAACGTGAAATAACATATCCTTATATATTGCATGCCTTAATAAGTCGTTTTACAGACGTTTGAAAAATATTTATTCGAAAATAAACAAGTTTCGTAAAATATCTCCTATTTTACCCGGCGTAGAAGATATAATAAGATTAAGTGATGTTTTTAAGATAACATCACTTAACTTCATTACATGTTTTTATTTTTAAGTATTTCTTTACAGAAAAACTTGTGTTTTCTTATAGTGGACATTTCAAAGAATATTTTGATGTAATACAGAGAGAGAGAGAGAGAGAGAGAGAGGGGGAGAGAGAGAGAGAGAGTTGCTTTATTTAGTTGTAATATGATTAATATTTATTTAAATATTACGGTTCCCATCATGGCTCAGTTTTCCATATAATTAAAAGTCTCTTTGGCGATATAAAATCGCGCTTGCGATACAAAATTGCGCGTGATTTAAAATCATATATACAATACACGATTGTGACACGATCACATTTATTGCGATTCTCAAAAAAGATTACGTCGCGATACACAATTTCATAAATTGCATATTCCTGACGACATCTGCAAGCTTCTGTTCCGAAGCTTCGGTTAGACCGCGGTTTCACTTTTACTTGAAATATCAATTCACGCTTGCGCAAATTGGAAACGGACGACCGTGTGCTCGGGCATTATCCGTGCTTACTTTCATTAATTGTTACATCCATTAGGGACATTAACGAGAGGTTGCGCGTAACCTTTCTAAAATCGCATTGTCAGAGGCGTAATTATACTTGTCGAAGAGGAGCGGAGGAATTCCGCGTCGCGATATGAAACTTTCACATTTCCGGTGCTTCGTTCGCGTCTCGAAAGTCGTCTTGTCGTTAGCGCGTTATTGCGAAGCGAAGAGGAGGATTCATTGCGGCGAGCATTCGATGCCGCGATAGGCGCGCGGTATAAATCGAGTCACGTCGCGATACATTTTCTTAAATCCTGCATAGAGTTTTGTTCGATGAGAAAATCTGCCTTGAGGAAAGAAACGAACGGAAGGTACGAGTCGTGTACGTCGGAATTAAAATGTCGCTAGGAATGCTATTCTCTTCTCACTCTTTCGCGTAGCTTCTGGATTCTACGGCATAGAGAGGCACGTGTGTGCGTGTGTGCCGACGGTCGCGCAATTATCGCGCTTAAGATTACGACTGCTGGTCTTGTCCGTTAATAATTTGCGGTTATTTTTAGCCGGAAGGACACCCGTGAGCGTGTGAAACAAAGTGCACACCAAAGTTAATAATAAAAGAAGTTAAGTCCCGAATGAGTGCATTTTGTCGCTGTTTATTTTTGAGTTTTAAGCTTTAATCGGCACGCTGGGCACCTTCATCTGACACGCTGAGGTCGTTTTAGTTTTCGCTAATTTAAACTTCATAAAAACACCAATAATACTCCATAAAAATTATGAATATGCTCTGAAATCGGTGGAATATAAAATTACGTAAATAAATTATCGCAAATATTCACTTGAGCGTTTCATTTGATTAGAAATCAAAGTGTATGGTTAACAGAATCGTGGCGATTACCACATAGGAGAAGACTGCTTCTATTATGTTTGTAAACAATCAGTCACGACAATGAACTGTTTCAGAGGTTGTGACTTCGAAATTCTGAAATAAAGGACATCTAGTTCTATTAAAAGTAAAAAAAATCGCGAGTTTCGCAGAGAGGCCCGTTCTGCTTTTCGGCACGGTCTAAACAACGAGGAACACAGGAGATAAAAATTCAGAGGATGCGCCGCTCAGGTTTCGCGCGTGCGCGCCGAAGATATCGCCGCGTTATCAGCTCCGTTATCGCGGCCGTTATCGGTGCGCGCTTTGCTCCGTTTAGTATTGAAAGCGCCTTATCGTGCGGGGTAAAGTAAATAGCGACCCGTTCTGTCGATCTGCGTCCTTTATGTCGACTGTATTTTCCATGGGCACAAACGCTTTTCTCCTGTCTCCATCTCCTCTTCCTCGTTAACCTCTTCAGCAGCGATTTAAAATGACTGCGTGACTCCCTTCAGAGTAGGTTTGTTTTTAATAAACGTATCTAGATTAATTTTCTCTTCATTGTTATTTCTGTGGCGAGAATTTTGGAAGACAGAATACAAAATATATCTAACTTATATTAACTATGAGTTAAAAAGTATGTACTAGTTTAACTTGAAAAAGGGGGTAATTATCGACTATAACGGAGCACCCTCCAATGACCTCCACCTTGATATATATTATCAAGGACACTGTCCTGAGTGACAATCAAAAGGTTTTAGCCGGCGCTCATTGGTTGTTAAAAAATTATTAGCAAAAAAGTTGCATGTATGTAATGAATGTAATTTTTGGACATTGTATATAAATAAAAAATCGAATTTGTAACTTAAGAGGATGCCCACACACACAAACACAAACACACACACACACACACACAGAGACGCACACACAGCGCCTAAACGCGCGGTCGCCAGCCCGCCCGGGCATGTATTCCTATTATATATGCATGATTGTTATAATTTTGCAAAACTTCATAAAATAAAATGTAATTTTTCAACATTTTTCAACATCCTATATACAAAACATTTGAATTTGTAAATTAAGAAGATGCCTACTACACATACATAACTTATAATATCTTTTTTTTTAGTAAGTACTGCAATCTCGAACGACTAGCGGGGGGCTGCGCCCCCCGCACCGCCCCAACAACTAACCTAACCCAACCTATCGTCACAT